TCTATCCACTCTCGAGCAGTAATTTTTTGAGGTAGGACATCGGCCAGAAAATTGTAACGATCTAACTGACATTGAAGACGAGAAAGATCCTTGTAAGTCAATTCAGATCGATTACCACGGATCGCAGTGGACACAAGCTCACTTACAAACATTTCCTAAACCTTATAATAAAATAACGCAATATTTACAGTAGCTTTAGATAGACATACAACAGAATCTGTTGAAACACAGTCCACATCAGGAGAACTTTTCATCATAAGGCGAGTCCTGAAAGCCGGTATACGGAGTCCCATAATCTCATCTGTGGTACTATACCGCGGCATTTTAGTAAAACACTCAAAATTTCGGAGTCTTCTGGTACTATATATAGGGCGCTTTGTGTTAGGTAATCCTAATCTGTAAAATAAGAAGGGTAAACGAAATGAGCGGTAACATTACAACCTGTGGATGACCTTTGAGAGACTCCTAAGTGACCTTGAGGATGTCCACCCATTTGGTCAAAAAGAAAGTTACATGCTATTGTGAAGAATTGTGACTATGATTTGTGCCAAAATCGGAAAACTGTGACCTTTAATCTGACTGGATCGTTTATAAAATATGGTTTCGCCGACACTCCACTACACAAATCCAAGTCGGTTTAGTGGCCATTTGTGGATATGTTTTTCTTGTAGTTTGAGTGAGCACGTTTTTCTCAGGGATGTGTAGATTCTGGATGCTAGCAGTTATCACATTGCCAGGCAAAATGTTCGTTGTAATGTAAAGATGATAATAAATAGATCAGTTAATTAACTGCGATTGGCGAGAGTGTGAGAAGACTGAAGTGCAAGAATAGAAATGGAAACAAAGAAAATACTATAATAGAGAGGAATAGGTTAATGATATGTGATGGTAATAACATTAGGTATGGTGAGAAATGCACTAAGCAGATGATCCAAGCTGAAAATGGGTTCCGTAGATGTGGGAGTGTTTGTCTAGTCTTCTCCTAAAGCTGTCCACTGAGGGCGCTGTAGTTACTTTGGCCTGGAGAGCTGTTCAAATTGGAGTAACTCTCAAACATAAAATGTGTGAGCGTGTCTGGATTTTCGCTCCCTGATGTGTGGTTTTTTGGGGGTTGCTTGGTGAAGTGTTATGGTGCAGTTCTGATAAGATACTCATATTCACATCACGTGGAATACCTAATATGTTGTATGCCATTATCAGACCACCTCTTAGTCTATTATAGCTTGGCAAGAACAAACCCGAGACACGCTCATACCAAAATGTTTCATTATATACAGAAGGACGGGTTTGGGTTTGTCTTTTGCCATAAAATTTTTGTAAATATCCAGAGTTGTTTCGGATAAGTACACTATTCAGTATCTTTACGATAGGGTAATGTACGTCAATTAATTTATTTGCGCTCGATTTTTTCATGTCACGGTACGATGCTGGTTGATTTATAGAAGGGCAGTAATTGATATTACGATTCAATTTCGCTCTGGTTTGTTTATGAAGAACGGCCGGTTGCTCCACTCGTAACACACGATCCAAATAACAAGATATCCAAACTCCGGTTGTGGTACCAAGAGTTGGTCCGTAAATTAGAAGTAATCGACCCAAATATAGCGCTCTAATGATACTCGTGCTAACTACATGACAGTCCCTCAATTTTGAGATTTCCGGAGCAAAGTATCCAAAATACCAGGCCAAAACAGAATGAAACTTCAAATGTCCAAGGTCGAAATTACAAACAAACATGTTCAAAATTTGAGCAAACCAAATATATCAGAAATATGATGAAATATTTTGCATTCAGTATGACAGTTGTTAATCAGCTTGATACTTTCAATTCTTTTAGTAACATGTAGTCTAGTTAATGGAACGCACTAGCCCTAGTAAGTTTGGTATTTATTCGTGAGTTGTCACACCTTGAATTGGGTGATACTCGAAGAAGGCAAAGATATTTTCCCTGCCCATTTAATCAAAGAGTATAACTTTTCATATTGTGTTAGAACTTTTGCTTTTACTTAAATTGGATTGAAATTGTAGTTAAAGCATCATGAAATTATAGTTTTTTGCATTGATATCGGTTTTATTTCATTCTTTGACTGTACACCTACCTTCAGCGAAGAAAATGCTTTGATTGAATAGCTAACGGTTTGTGTACAAAGCAGTTACCTTGTGTAACATTTTTATCTTTCATCTTTTTTGGAGCACTTTCTCGTCATTTTGATGCCTTGTCATTACCTTTTCATGGCTCTTGAGATAGTTTTTACTGTCTGTCAACTCATTTAAATAAGAGGCATGGACTAAACGTCACTTCGGTGGACTGACATGCTCCTTTCAAATCGAGGATAGAGCTTGGTGTGATAGTTGTAATAACTCTTATCACAACTTGTGCCCTGAATTTATCTCAGTGCGCATGATGTGTGCTGCCTTGTATCTGAGTAAAACCATTGCGATAGACCCCTAAAACGTAGTAGAGGATCAGCATATTGATTAGGTGAAAGTCTCCCGTAAAGGACACGGTCGCTTGAACTCAACACGGCCTAAGCTACACATAGTCACTAATACGAAAGTTTCCTGTAGGTACAATGGCTGAAGTTAGTACAAACAAACTGTGCAAACCAGGATAAAAAGCGAATCAGACAAAATTTTGCTTGAGTTTCCTTTTACACATTGCTTTATTTCATTGACGTGGCAAAATCGTCACAAAACGCTTTGACCTGAAATTTACATCTGTACTGACCTTGGATTGGCCGGTTTTATAAAATAGTCAGCTCAATCAGAGACAAATAAACCCGGTTGAAATGTGGGGAAATCTTTAAAATGAAGGGTTTTTACATGGTCAGTGTTCAGAAACATCAGATCCTCAAGCTGCTTTCGCGTGTGCAAGAAAGTATTTCACAAGGCATAGTTGACGCGGAAAACTCTGACGTCATCGCAAGTCAAAAGCATGGTCGACACCGGAATAGTTGGTAGCAAAACTAAATTATGTATGTTCTTGCCCGATAGAACCTATTGACTAAATCGTAGTACGACAGGATAATCCTATATTTTAAATACACCCCTAATATACGAGCTTTTGACGTGGCTAAAATTTAAGGAGAATGACACTAAACAAGTGATATTGTACAGTAGCGCTGAACGTTAAGCGGACGTTTGCCCCTGAATGAAACCGAACACTAACCAAGCTGGTGTAGTAATCTTATTATACATGATCTTAATGAAGCGCTTCTATACTGAAAAAAACTACTAATAGGGCTTTAAAAAAACTTGTTCGACCAAAAACTTTAAGAAACCCTAATCACACTGACTTTATTTCAATATATACATCCCACCAGACATGACCTATGGGATTCTTCTTCTATCCTGGTCTTAGACTTCGCTCATGGTGTTGATGCCAGTAAGATTAAGCACCTTCCACCAATAAAGAGGAGTGGCTGCGTGGTCAACACATTCGGGTTCGTTGCTGTTATGCTCTATGAAGCAGGTGCTCCACCCTATTCGGAAAATATGGAAGGGAGTTATTGAAACGAGCAAATCTATGGCTCCAGAGAAAGACTAATAGATCAACTCGCGGTCAAGAGTGTAATTTACATGGAATTGTAGTGGCACTGTGCCCTAACCACACAATCCTCAAGGCTGAACACGAGACAACTGGGAAAGTAGATACTTAACCTGACGATGAAGAAGGCGGGAAGATCAAACTGGATTAATTCGAATTGATCGAAAAGCATGGCTCGGCCTTTCAGACGTGGTCTTATGTAACATTATTTTTATCCATATTAAATAAACTGTTCTATCTCCAATCTAAGTGTGTTCCTTATATATTGACGGTCGTTACAAAGTAATGAATCAGAGTAGACACTGATGTGACTTCCACGTAAGATCTTAAAGATTAGGCAGTTACATCATAACAAATCTACAATTTTAGAATTAGGTCTATTATTGGATCAGTACTCATCTCAAAGTAGACCATAATTTTACAGTCACGTCTGGCAGTTATACAAACAAGTAACTCAGGCGTTCAAAACTTGTATAGATGTGGGGAAGGTGAGAAAGGGTAATTTCTAGAAAAATACTTGTGATCCAACGTTTATTGAGACATAACCAAAATACCCAGAACATTACCAGCAGTCTTCGTACAGTAAATCTGATGGAACATTAAAGACCGATCAGAAAGCTTCGTCTGATTTGTTACTTTTCTCTGATGATGAAAAACCCGGGGGACGTTTGCGATCAAGGATATAAGATGAAATTTCAGGATGATCTAACCCTATTTCAGAGTTGGCAGATAACAACGGACTTAATTTTAACACTTTAAAGTGTAAAATAGTTCATCTGAGAGACGTTGCAGACTATGTATGCAACTTGTGTAACTCCCATCTAGAGACACTTTAGTTTATAGAAAAATCTATGAATGCTGGTATCCTATGATCCATAGTCACACCCAATTTAGGGTACAACTTTACGCAATAGAGTATAGAAATATAGTGTTTCCTCCTTCACTTCTAAGGGATAAAAATATACTAAAATCTATCCGACGGCGAGCAACGAAAACAGTTCGGGGACCTTAATTCAGTCTTTAGGAAGAGCACCTCAAACCACTGAATCGTTATTCGTTCCAGAATAGGCAACCTAGATGTGATTTATAATGACTTAAATATTCTGAATACTCCTAAGCGCCCACTAAGACACCCAGAATGGGTGTTTACGATCAGTGAACTTCTAGAATTCACTATAGCCTGAGGTAGACCAATTTACTGGACGCTCACAGAAGCATAGTAGAAATGGAATATAATAGGCCGTAGGCCTTCTATCCTTACTACACATGTCTGTATCTGGATCTTCTAAGAGAAAACTTGACATATATTTCGCTATTATTTATGAATATATTTTTCTCATTACTAATTATTCCCAGATTCACACATGAATCGGTCTGTGATCTGTTGTTGCTAGCCACGAAAGCACGCTAAACGAACACATGGATATCCGACGTTGTATATTAAATGTTTAGTGAGGGCTGTTTTTCTGTTGCGTTACTGTTGACTAGTGTTCGTTGTGAGTTCATAGTAAAGGACAAGCAAGCCGTAACTCAGTATACAACGCCTAGGTTTTAGTGCAACATTCAAATGTTGAGTATATATGAAGCTCTGGGAAAACCACTTCGTTGCACTGAAAACGTCTTAAATGGTTAGTAGCATCGCCTGAATCTTTACTCTAAACTGTCTATTCACGGAGGCTGTTTTTTGATTTGTCAGCAGCTGGATAAACGGTAAGACTATAATTTATGGGCAGCTTTTGAGCGATGCCAGTCTGACCTTCAGGGTGTCCACCTAATAATCAGAACCAAATGAGGGTTATAAACCCGTGTAAGGAGTTAAAATTAAGATTTACAGTTGACGATTAAGGTTAGAAATTAAAATCAGGGATTTCATCATGGACTGACATGAGCTATAATGCCAAATTTATTTGTCCTGATGAATGGGTAAATTTCGCGCCAAAATGCGAGATTTGTTGTCATACACGTAATTGTTTCGTATCCAAATTATAGTGCCGTCGTAATCCCATTCTCTTCGTTCTGGGAAATTTTGGGGTCTTTGTGCCACTTCCTCAGGGTCTTCGGTGCGGCTCCCTTAAAAAGGACAAAATTTTCTCAAAAATAGTGGGATTAATGTGTGTTACGGTGACAAGTTTAAATAGTTTGCATGACCTAGTGGAGTTTTAAGGGTTGCAGAGTTGTATGTAAAAGTTCATGTAATGCCATTCGAAGTTATTTTTCAGCATGTGGTATTGTGTTTCTGATATTTCATTTGTTTTTTATTTTGCGTCATATCTCCGCTTGATAGAAGTCAGTTTTTACATTGAGTAGAGGGAGTTCGCTAGTCAAGAACTACCAACCTATTATTAAAATCCACCTAAACCTAGTAGGATTGTGTTTCAGGCTCTTCGAAATGGTAAGAGAATTTATTTCACGTCTCATGGACCACGTCCATAATCACGTTTGTTTTAGAGCATAAATTTGCCTCCTTACATAACATCTTACATACATCATGCATATATTTTTTTATCAAGGCCATCATCGCTGTAGGTAGGATTGTCAATTTATCCGAATAGCCAAAGAATATTTTCTGTACGGTAAACTAAAGATAGTTTAAATATTTCTGTAGAATTACTTTACCACAGTGCATGTTTACAATAAATAAAGCTTGCAATTTTTGTTATAAGTTTGTGCCCAAACAGCTTGATGTGATATTTCCTTATAACAAGTAGCGTTGAGCCTTTCCTTGAGAAATTATAATTTCCAAGTTCACATTAAATTTACTGTATGCATCAAAAGGACCCTATTATCTGGAGGCTAATCAGATCTCAGTACCAATATTCACTAAACATCAGAAAGTTTAATTTATCAGTTCATTCAAATGTTTTGCATAAGAGTTAGTGGATTATATACCAATGTTATCCGCTGAATGCTGTATTAATTTAATCGGCCAAGCATTTTTTCAACTTTATTGACCACACTTAAATCAATAACTTAATGTCACAGTTATTTAAAAAAGTAATTATGAACAGTAATTCACTCATTGTCATCGCTTATAGCTTTATTTTTTTCTTCATATCCTATCGTTTATAGGGCAGTTTGTTTGTCAAATGTTTTAAATAATTAGCGTGAATTTCTGTGAATTCCTCGGATAACAGCCAATTTACATTTTGATAAAATGATGTTCTACCAGAAAATTGGTGGTGAAAGTTATTTCATTGATAGTGTTACACACAACAGCTTTATGTTATTCATCATCTTACGTGAATACATCTGTTCATTAATGATGTCAGATAACTCTGAGGATCAAATACAGTGTAGTAATTCAAAAGATACAATCACTTTGTATATGTTAATGTATGAAATGTTAAAGGTTAGTTGATTGTTATTTTAATAGGCTTTTTTTTGAGGAAAATATTGGTAATCCATTTGACATGTTGAAATGCAATTCGCAAGATGTACGTATTCCTGCGTATTTAAAACCATTGATTCGAGGCCGGTAAATATATTTAATCATATTTTTATGATTAAAAAATGTATAATTGATTAGAATTGAAAGACTACGCAATTACTACGAGGCTGTTGCGTACACAAATTTGTCGACATTTAAAAATCTAATCTTTGCAAAGTCATCGAATGTTGACAATGAAATTGATGACGATGACGATGAAGATAGTGGTGATGGCGGGGGTGATATTAATCAAAATAGTAATAGAAGAAGATTTCTTTTAACTAAAGACAGCGTTTTTGGTAAGCCAAGTGATATTTTATAATGAATTGTTTTAAAATTTGTTAAATGTCAAATGTTAAGTAGTGATTAATTCCTATTATAGCTTGCATATCATCATTAACATGAGAGCCATGGTAATAATTATGAAAAACTAATTTTGTTGTTTGTTTTATCTATAAAGTGACAATCATTGACACGACAAACCATCCTGACTGTAGCTGCTACCTCGATATGGTGGTCGAATTTGCCTATCGTTATCACTCGACGGAGCTGTATTAGCTAAAACACATGTTCCTTTAGATCCTACCACGCCAGGTAGGTCGGTTGGAGAACGGTAATGCTGAAAGCAGCAAGTTAAGGTCCGAGGGCGAAGTCGTACTGATGACTGTAAAATGTGTTACAGTGGCAAGGTGTTTCTCACGGACAAACAGCATTTGCAACAATTCTGTCGTTTCACAACGGAAGGAAGGGGTCAAAAAAGGTCGACCACACTTCATATCACTCTGAGGATTACCGTCTCTGGCACCAAGGTTTTTTAAAGTGCGGAGCTAACACACCAAAAACTTTCCATAATAAAGCCTTGTGCAACCGGCCTTAAGCAATTCTCCTATGGGTTTTGCGACCACACTCCCAGATTGCTAAGACTACCACTACTTCAGCTTCTTTTTTAAGTCATTCAAGAAAAATCCTTCTACGGTATGGATAACCAGCATGTGACCATTTCTGACCTCTTCTTTCTGTTATGAAATAGCAGAATCGCTGCAGATGCTGGTTGTCCGTGAGAAACACCTTGCTACTGTAACACATTTTTACAGTCATCAGTACGACTTCGCCCTCGGACCTTAACTTGCTGCTTTCAGCATTACCGTTCTCCAACCGACCTACCTGGCGTGGTAGGATCTAAAGGAACATGTGTTTTAGCCAATATAACTCGGTCGAGTGATAACGATAGACAAGTTCGACCACCACGTCGAGGTAGCAGTTACGGTTAGGATTTCGACATCCGACTATAGTTTTATTCTTTAACTTTAAGTCATAGTCTGTGGGGAACTTTCACAGGAATTGGTTACTTAAAGTGGCGTTCGTCAGGATTGTCCGCTTTCCTCATTTTTGTTTAACTTGATTGTAAACATGCTTTTAGAGACAACACTTTCATCGTCTGACTTTTTAGAGATTGATCTTCCTGGAGGTTCACTTGTTGACTTAGAATACGCAGATGATATAGTTGTGTTTGGTGAAGACGCTGACAAGATACAATTTTCTGATCACCTTAAGCAACAATGCAAGCATCCGTTCCTCTCTCTCCCCAAATGTAAAATTTTACCTCAGGATTGGCTTGCATCATCGTCTGAATTAGTGATAGGAAATGAAGCAATTGAACGCATCGATCGCTTCACCTATCTTGTGTATCATTAGTCCTGATGGTTTTGTGTCTGACGGAATCTCGGCACGGATTCAGAAGGCTGTATTGGCTTTTGCCAACCTGCGTCACTTCTGGAGCAGGCGAGATATCCGTCTGTCAACCAAAGGGTGTGTACTGCCCAGCAATCCTCTCTGTTCTACCAAGCATGGTCATTGGGAAAAGAAGCTATTCGTAGGTTACTGGTATTCGATTATAGTTGTCTTCAAAGCATTAGTCGTGTATTTTGGGACCACGGAGTAAACAATGCCTAGGTTAAGAATACAGTAAATCTTCATGAACTGAGGTGGTTGATACATGTGTTACGTTTTCGCAACCACCGCCTACCTTGATAGGCGATGTTTTCTGGTGTAGGAGTAGGTTGGAAGAAAGCTAGGGGTGGTCAAACCAAAACATGGCATCAGTCCATGAAGTCACTGACAGTTGGACTTAGCTATTGTAATAGGTACAGACTACCTAGTCGTGGTCCGCGTGTTTATCGTAACCATTGCTTAGAGACTTTAATTGACATGGCTCAAAATCGTTTTCAATCGCGGAGGTGCATCCATCCTTTGTTTTCCCTATATCCCGAGACTAAATTCCTCATAACTTTTATTATCTTTATTTCACTAATTTGTGTTCTTTTTCGAGTCGTATCTTCGATGCCTAATCTTTTTCATTACCACTGATACCGTTACTACCTCTACTATTCTGAGATTTGGCCTGACAGTCTCATCTCTGTTCTAATAGGATGTATTAAATTGAACTTACCAGGTACTACGTTGTGACTGACTAAAAGAAATTACCATACAGAAGATGATAGTTTTGTGAAATGAATAACGAGAGAGGATACAGGTAACACATTTTAGACGACAGCAGAACTGAGGTGTTTTTTATTCATTCAAAAGGATATCTTACTGTTTATTTCGAGTGTAAAAGGCTACAGTGGTATTGCTACTAGTTTTGATTTTGAGTTGCTCATGGCAGTCTTAAGTCAGTGGGTTGTACCATACGTTGAAGCCATTTTAAGAGGTTACGATAATTCAACACATGCTAGTTTGATACACATATCCCTCACTCAAAAGCTTCATACCATATTGTGACTCTTTTATACTCATTTTACGGATTATCAATACTCAGACTAGTTGCGGTATTGTATGTGAAAGGTTTATGTGCGTTGAAAGCCGGGGTTTCTGATCTTATTGAACATTAATCTCCAGTATGCATAAACACATATTCCATGACCTTAGTGTTGCTAACATGATCTGAATACTAAATATTAATGATTTTACTATTGAACATAAATTACGGTTAAACACCCTCGGCTCAGATAGATCATATTTCACAAATATAATGCAAAACTGTCCATGCTTAGGCTTTATTCACCTGGCTTTTTGCAGATATATTAACATCATAACTATGGAACGAGGTACATTGGCTTGCATTTGCTATTCATCCTTTCATTATACGAAGATGGGTTTCACCCATCACACTACCAGACAATTACTCAATATCATTATGCACAAGCGTTTAAGTTATTATGCTGATGACGAGCACGTTTTTTGTTTGTTAAAGCGACGAGGACACTGCCGATCAATAAATGATGAGAGGTGATTTGGTGTGTTCAAATGAGCTGTTTACAATACAGTTACCAACATAATGCTCCTAACTGAACTGATAACGAGATACAAAACTAATTAACAGAATAGATATTCCTAGTGTTTTGTAGCTTTGTTGAACCATAAATTGAAACCGATTTTATCTCCGATCTAGACACCTAAATTGTATAAGTACTCCATATAAACCAATCGATAAATTTCGACATCGGTAATTTGTGGGAAAATATAGTTTCAAATCAAAGCCAATAGGAGTAGTTACATCTGTCTACGCACTCGAGCAGTATCACAGCCCACTCACAAATCAAGTGACTTGTATGGCATATATGTATGCAGTGCCCCTTTGTACCAGTCAGTTAGTTACAACGTAAGATCGGGCATATCTATTCATCGGTTCAAGTTGCCATACCTCATTAGCACAACAAGATGAACACTGAATTCATCGATCAGTCAGTCAGTAACAACGTAGAACTTCGTACATACGTACATCAGTTCGAGTTGTCATATCACATTAGCACACAGATACAATTGTCGATTCGAATCCTGTATTGGTAGAGGTAGTAAGAGTATAAGCAGTAATCGGAAAGATTAGGGTTTGAAGATGTTATTCAAGGAGTATAATCCAGTGAAATAAATTTGGAAAGAGAGGAAATAAAGCGATGTAAAGAATTCAGAAGATTAGAATTCGGGAGAACACAAAGAGTGGATGCACCTGCACCATTGCAAACGATTTTCAGCCATGTCATCCAAGGTCTCTAACCATCGGTTGCTATCATCTCGCGGTCCCCAACTAGGTAGTCTACACTTACCAACATCGCTCAGTCCATTTGTCAATGACTTCTTGGATTTGTACCATGTTTTGGTCTAACCGCCCCTAACTTTCTTCCAACCTACTTCTACACCATAAAACATCGCACGTCGGGGCAGTCGGTAGTTGGGGATACGTAACACGTATCCCAGCCATCTCAACTGACGAGGTTTCACTACTTCATCAATTGATTTGAAATCCTTACCCAGTACTCGTTTCCTAACAACTGCATTACTTACTCGGTGGTCCCAAGATATACGAAGACACCTACCTATGATCGAATACTAGTAATCTACGAATATCTTCTACTCTTACCGTCCACGTTCGACTTCCATAAAGTAGGACAGAACGAACTTCTGAACAATAAACCCGTCCTTTAGTTGATAGACATATCTCACCTACGTCACACTGAATTCATAGAACTAGTAGTTCATTCAATGATGTTAATATATAAAGAGAAAGACTGCATATAACGATATAATTACAAGAAGAAAAAATTAATGTTCCAATAAATATTGTTAAAGATTTATTTATTTATTTTAATACATAGTTATTGGTACAAGAAGGCACCAAATACATATGCGCCACACAAATCTCAATTGATTTGTGTGAGGGCTGTGATACTGCCTGGGTGCCTAAACCGAAGCAGGTGGTTTTCTTAGGGGGCCACACCCGGAGCCTTCAACCTGAAGATCTGGCCCACAAGGCAGTGGAGCATGGTAAGGAGATGCAGTCCCATGGTAGCCAGCCGGTGACCAACGATTGGTCCATACGCCATTTGTTTATTCGGGATACTGGAGCCCATGTGCACCATTGGTTTGGGATCCGGTTAAAGCGCCGGACATTCGCTTTTCATCCTCTCAATTTGGTAAACAACACCCGTGGTGCGAGAAGGCAGTGAGTAGGACTTCCCTAACAGAGGCTATATACGCGCGGTCATGAGAGAGCATTTGGAGAGGGAGAGTGGACTCTCCCCACTCTCAGCCATACCAGTGCATTTTGGGGGCATTGTTAAAGATAAAATCATGTAATCTATTTTTTGTTTTATAGGTTTATTTATAAGAAAATTTTCACTTGGTATTTATTCTCAAAGTTTTGAAAAAATAATACAATTCTTTGATTCATTCTTTGATGCCTATGATCATGAATTATGTTCTATATCAAATCTTGATACTGACGATTTAATTGTACAAAAATTTGCTCATTCATTCACAAGAGATCAATATTTAATATCAACGTAAGTTATTATTATTATTATCGTTATCCATTTGATATACATAATATTTGAATGTTCCGATTGATGTGTTAGGACTGCAATTGATCAGTCTCTTATTGGTATTTGTGCGTACTATGTGTATTATTTTCATTCACAAGCATCCAGCTGATGAGTCCCAAATAGGAAGAAATGAGCATCCTGGATTCCATTGCTAGCCATTTATTTATTTATTTTAACACATAGATATTGGTACAAGGAGGCACCAAATACATATGCGCCATATAGATCTCATTTGATATGTGTGAGGGCTATGATACTGCCCGGGTGCCCAGACCGAAGCAGGTGGTTTTCTTAGGTGGCTACAACAGGAGCCTTCAACCTAAATAGATGATCCACAAGGCAGTGGAGCATCGTAAGGAGATGCAGTCCCATGGTAGCCGGTGACCAACGATTGGTTCATACGCCATTTGTTCCCTCAGGATACTGGAGCCCATGTGCACCATTGGTTTTGAATCAGTGTTTTCCAACTCCCGTAGATGGACTCTCCATGTCCACTAACCCGGTTAAAGCGCCGGACATTCGCTTTTCATCCTATCATTTTCATAAACAACACCCCCGCCACGAGAAGGCAGTGAGTAGGACATCCCTGGCAGAGGCTATATACGCGTGGCCATGTGAGAGCATTTGGAGAGGGAGAGCGGACTCTTCCCACTCTCGGCCGTACCAGAGCATTTGGGGGCACTAGCCACTATTCATCTTTGCTTAATTTGATTTTATTCTGATTAGTTTTAAATTGAAACTGATATAATTATTTGTAAATACAGTTATATGTAATAACCTTTTAAAATGTGGAGTCGTATCTTTGTGGTTAAGATACTTGGGTTTCAACCAGTAGTTCTTAGGTTTGAACCCCCGCCTCACCTAATTGGTTTTAAACAGACGAATAGTATCGAATTTAAGGTGTGGTGCAAAATCAAATGCATTGATGTATACTTAGCAGTTGAGTTACAAGAAGTAGCTTTAAAACATCTTTTTTTATGTAAAAATATCACGTAATGAGCACAATTACATCTAGATCCAACTAGTTTTGTCATAAAAAGTTAGTTTGTTCAAATGACGAATTGAGATAATTGTCATGTATATTGCCCATCTAGGAAAGCTACTTAGTTCAATATACTACATTGATTAAAGTGTACTAAATAGGGAGAGAAAGAAAGAGATGGAGAAAAGAGCTTCTCAGTAAGCGAATCAGAATGAGTTACAAGTTGTCGAAGTAAATAACTTTTCTTTTGGATATTAGTAATAAATAAATTCAGATAAAGTCAGTATAATTCTAGCAGCATTTATAATAGGAAAGACTATACATTGAGAAGTATGTTTCAACAAGAACAACTGAAGAGATGATATGTATGATGGAGAACTGAAACTAAAGATCTAGGTGAGAGGTAATGTGTGAATGCATCTTCACCATTGTGTTCAATTCTGAGTCACGTCACCCAGCACCCAATTATCACACGAACATCATAGAGATAGTGTAAATCTCACGCCATTGTTCAGTCTAATAATCAGTGATTTCATGAACTGTTTTTTTGTCTTCGTTTAGCCTTTCAATAGATCGTCTGTAAATCACTTTCATGTACATTGTAAGTGAACTTTTCATGGTTAACATTAGTGCGAAACTGTGACCAGTGGAGTTCAACTATGTAGACTGTCAGACATTTACACACTACATACATTGGAAGGTGGTTGTGTGATATTACGAATCTATTGAAGTTAAACACATAAACCTTTCCAATTGATTGATTACTGGGTAGTGATCAATTTCATGTGTGTCTAGTCATTATTAGTGTAGATCGAATGCTATCGACGAAGTTGCAATGTGGCCACTAGTCTAGGTGACTCGACATTACGTGCACTATGTTGAGATTAGATGGTGGTTGGAGGTAGTCAACAGGAAAGCCTGGACCTAGGTTTCGTGCTATTTTGCACTCGTCGACAAGGTGTGTCTGTAATCTTGAGGGAACTGGTGCTCCTTGACGGATTCGATCCTGTGTCACCCAGCTTCACAGTCATAGAAGTTACCACTGGTTGATAGCATTCGATCTGCACTAATAAGGACTTGACACACATGACATTGATCACCACCCAGTGATCAATCAATTGTGATTACATTTCAGTCCTACAGGTGGTCGGTCACGGCCCGGATAGCTCAGTGGTAATGTCTCTGACTGTGAAGCTGGGTGACACGAGGTCAAATCTGTAAGGGACCATCAGTTCCCTCAAGATTATAGGTACACCATGCTACCTCCAACCACCATCTAATATAAACCTTTGGATGGGGGATCAGTGATCTGGAGGTTGAGCGTTCACACTCAAGATCAGAGTTCTTGGGATAGATTTCCTCTGTTGTGGTCAACTATACACACTACTTAGGAGTCCCATACTAGCATGAAATAGCTGTCCAATGCTTCTTGGTTTTTAATAGTCGTTTAACTAAGATCGATCCGTGGTGTTAACCATGAAATTAAAGAGAAGCTCTTCACAACTTCTTTTCAAACTTTGATTTATTCATTTATTCCTAACGAGTGTTTATTTTGTTTGTTTGTTTTTTCAAACAAACAAACATTCATTCGGATTCTTCAGTCGTAATCAAGCTTTAGATGTCTGTTCAGAAATTATTGATTCTATTGGAAAAATTGGTGGACGTCCTAATCTTAATCTACAAAAATACAATGAACTTTTATTGTTAGCTAAAAAAATGTATCCTGAAGTATCATATACCGTAAGTGTTTTTTGTTTTGTTTGTCTAAATGATATTAATGCTTAGATTGTTTTTTGGATTTTGGCAAGCTTAGGAGATGTAGTCCCATGGTAGCCGGTTAGTCAGTCAGTCAGTCAGCTGCAACGTAGGACCAGGCACATATATGCATCGGTCCATGTTGCCATACCGCATTAGCACAACAAGATGGACACCGGATTCATGGAAGTAGTCACTTAAAAGGTAGTTATATATAAAAGAAAGTTTGCATATAAGGATATTGTACAGGAAGGAAGAATTAGTTCGTAGAAAGAAATATATGAAGCGATTTTAATCTCTTAGTTTAAAGGAAGACAGAGAATGTATACACCGACGCCATTGTGATCGATTCTGAAACATGTCACCAATATTCTCCAACCATTGGTTACGATAGTCATGCGGACCCCAACCAAGTAGTCTGCATCTACCAACATGGCTCAGACCAGAAGTTAGTGACTTCAAGCACTGATGCCACGTTTCGGTTTGGCCACCCCTAATTTTCTTCCAATTATCCTTAACACCAGTTAGCATTGCACGTCGTGGTAATCGGTGTTCAGGCATACGCAACACGTGGCTCAACCATCTCAGTCGATGAAGATTCATAACCTCATCAACTGATTTACCATCATTCCCTAGTACCCTGTGTCTAACCTCACTATTACTTACCCGGTGATCCCAGCAGATACCAACGATATTTCTAAGGCATCTGTGGTCAAATTCTTGTAGCTTACGAGTATCTTCTACTCTTAATGGCCATGTTTCGCAGCCGTAAATTAAAACAGAACGAACTGCCGCGCAGTATACTCGTTCTTTTATTGATAGACGGATATCTCGCCTTCGCCATAGGTTACGTAAGTTGGAGAAAGCCAAACGAGCTTTTCGAATCCGTGCTGAGATTTCGTCAGACACCAACACATTAGGGCTGATCAGACTTCCAAGATAAGTGAAGTTGTCGGCACGTTCGACTACTTCACTCCCTATCCTTATTTCAGGTGTTGACGCAGACCAGTGCTGAAGCAACAACTTGCATTTAGAGGGAGAGAAGCGCATCCCAAACATTCTGGGATTGTTGCTCAGTGGTACCAAAAAACTCTGCATTTTATCAGCATCTTCACCAAACAGGATTATGTCGTCTGCGTATTCTAGGTCGATAAGCGGACCTCCTGGTAGGACTTCTCAGTCAGTGACTGTATACACGTGGCAATTTGTGAGTATTTTGTGAGGAAGAGCGGATTCTTCTCACCCTTGGGCATATCAAGGTATTTGGGGACATAATCATAAATAGAAGATGGAAGATTTGTAAAGTTGGTTTTCCTCACAGTCTAAAGGTGTTTTCTTTCCTTCATAAATTTAATTTCATCTAATAATCACGGAGGGACAATACTGAAAAGTTCAAATGAACTTACTAGCTCTGAGATACCAATTACAGGTTTGAGTATAAAACATACCTTCAAGTTTATGAAGATGTCATTTGACTCAATTTGGTGTAATAACTGTTAGTTTACATTGAAAAACATTATTAAAAGCTTAAAAAATGTCCAGAAGCGCTACTCTGAGGATCTGCCCCCAAATGTCCTGGTACGGCCGAGAGTGGGGAGAGTCCGTTCACCCTCTCCAAATGCTCTCTCATGGCCACGCGTATATAACCCCTGCCAGAGAAGTCCTACTCACTGCCTTCTCGAGGCGGGGGTGTTGTTGTTTAAGAAAGTGAGAGAACGAAAGGCGAATGTCCGGCGCTTTAACCGGATCTCAAACCAATGGTGCACATGGGCTGACTCCAGTGTCCTGAAGGAACAAATGGCGTATGAACCAATTTCTTGGTCACCGGCTACCATGGGACTGCATCTCCTTACCATGCTCCACTGCCTTGTGGGTCAGACGTTCAGGTCGAAGACTCGGGGTATGGTCCCCTAAAAAAAACAACCTGCTTCGGTTTGGGCACACGGGCAGTATCACAGCCCTCACACATATCAAATGAGATCTGTGTGGCGCATATGTATTTGGTGCCTCCTTGTACCAATATCTATGTGTTAAAATAAAATAAAAAACTCTGGGGATCTGATCTATGAAGTAAAATAGTATAAAGAGTAGTCATTTGTTTGAAACAATCTATATGTAAACAAGTTTTTGAGTGAAAAAGCAAGTAAACATTGTTAACAATAATTCCATTGCAGATGTCTCGTGATAACTGAGATAGTTGCAACGGTGAAAGTTCTCTGATTGTATTAGAATCCATAACTTTTGAGAAACAATTTAACACAGGAGATAATCAAGTTTTGTGTAAGGAAACCAGTCGATAGTATAACTTCAAAATTCCATGATTAAAGAGAATAATCGAAGTTAGTCAATCAACACTTGGTACTGTACTTTTCATTTCCTTGAACATCCATACCACATGAATTAAAGAAGCTTTGAGTTCCGTGTATATCTGTACTTAAAGTATAATCAACCCTTTTATCAAGAATGTGAGATTAATTAAAGACCACCTTCTGTGAATCATCGGACCCAATTACTACAGTTGTCACCAAGTATTTTCATAACGTTTTGTAAAGTTCTTCATCTTCATTGTTTCTATGTTTCTTTTTTTGAAAAAAAAACAGCATTATGCCTCACACGTATATGCTTTGCATAAACGAAATCTTACCATGGCTGAAAATGAATTACATGCATACTTTGAAACATGTATGGCATCGGTACAAAGTCCAGAAATATCATTAACAACATCAACATTTTCTGGAGCCGGTACAGTATCGACAACTACAACAGCAACAACAACAACAGCAGGACAAGGAACGATTACATCATCAGTGTTAACTCCACCTATTAATTCTAGTAATACTTGTGCACATATGGCAGTGACTGGTGCTGCAATGCATTTAAATTTCGGTCATTGGTAAGTTGGTTTTTTTCTTACCTTTTTAGTTGTTGTACATTTTATGCATAGTAACTGTGTTAAAATAACTTGCTAATACTAATTTATTTCGATCAATGTAACTAAGATTTTCCTTTTCAGATCAACTCCATCTGTTCAAGTCCTGACCGTTGTTGCTACCTTGACGTGGTGGTCGGGCTTGCCTATCGTGATGAAGCAACTGAGCTATACTGACTGAAACAACCGTTCCTCAAGGTCCTATCTTGCCAGACAGGTCGGTTGAAGAACCGTAAAACTAAAAGCAACAAACCCAAGGTCCGAAGGCGAAGTCGTACTGCTGATTGTACTGAGGTGTGACAGCAGTAAGGTGTTTCCTTCAGACAGCCAGCATGACAGCGATGTTGCCTTCCCACAAGGAAGGGTGGGGTTAGAAAAGGTCGACCCTAAAAATGCACACCTCGCCTTATACCATGGATATCCGTCTCCGACGGTAAGGTCTCAACAAGTACGGAGCTAATACAAAAATTACTCATAAAAAGGTCGTGTGTGACCGACCTCATACAGTTGTCCCTTGGGCACTGCGGTCACGCTTTCAGGTCACTAAGACTCTAATCCAATTTCCTTTTCAGGTACCTCTAGAAGAACCCTTCCACGGTGTGGGCAACCGGGATGTGATCACCGCCCTTATACCTCTAACAGCACTCAAGACCACTGATAATCTGTTCAAGTTTAAACACATAGGAAAAGCCGTGTACATTAACGGGGCCCTTAGCTTTATGAAGTTGCTTCCTATTTAATACATTTTATGATACAAAGAAATACTTATATATGTGTTGTGTTAAGGCAGTTGTTCGAGTTTAGACACTAATCTATCGACTTCCTACATGCACGTTCAACTTGCAACATTAGTGAGAAAATCAGCAGTGAGTAGAAAGCTTTTATTGGCTAACCTAAATTGAACAAACTCAATTGTAAAGATATATACATATATTCAGTGTTCTTGGTTAATGATACTTAGTGTCTAAGGTCTTCGTATACGTATTTCATGTCAATTTGCTAACTTGTACTACGAATAGACAACGTCAGTTTATGCTATAGGCGAACGATTCAATAGATACAATTTCACTGAAATCATTCTCTTGAACTAAAAATCTTCTTCACCGTCTGAAGATTAGAATGTAACAACAGAAATTGATTAAGATAGACAATTTGTGAAGATTAGTTTTATCTTCTTTCAATCAATTAACATTCATCGATTTAATTATTATTCGTTAATTTTATCTATTTTAACACATAGATATTGGTACAAGGAGGCATCAAATACATATGCGCCACACAGATCTCATTTGATTTGTGTGAGGACTGTGATACTGTCCGGGTGCCTAAACCGAAGCAGGTGGTTTTCTTAGGGGGGTCACATTCGGAGCCCTCGACTTAAAGGTTTGATCCATAAGGCAGTGGAGCATCGTAAGGAGATGCAGTCCCATAGTAGCCGGTGACCAACGATTGGTTCATACGCCATTTGTTCCTTCAGGATACTGGAGTCAGCCCATGTGCACCATTGGTTTGAGATCCAGTTAAAGCGCCGGACATTCACTTTTCGTCCTCTCATTTTCGTAAACAACACCCCCGCCTCGAGAAGGCAGTGAGTAGGACTTCCCTAACAGAGGCTATATACGCGTGGCCATGTGAGAGCATTTGGAGAGGATGAGCGGACTCTCCCCACTCTCGACCGTACTAGGGCATTTTGGGGCTATTCGTTAATATAAGTGAACGATTAAAACCATGGGATCCGCAAATAGGAACCCTATCCACTTTCTTGGATTTCAACGCTTTGGATAGTTTATTAAGTTATTGAATTAAAAACAAGTGTATGATTTCAAACTGAGTCTAATAGTCGGCATCCGAACACTGATATCTGCCTATGGTCTACATATGTTGTTCCATTTTACTCCTTAACTTCAAGATTTATAAATTGTTTCTTCTCCTCGTTTGTTTACCTCAATATGAACTTGTCTCTTTGTTTACTTATAATTTGCTTTATTGTTTATATTATTGAATGAATGTTTACTAGGTATAAAGGAAAATGTTTGATTAAGGAAGCACTTCAAAAATCGCTAGAAAGTGAATCGAAAGATTCCCTTGGTCATGTTAAAGTGAGTATATTATTATTATTATTATTATTATTATTATTATTATTATTATATCCGGACGTGAATAAACGACTGGTAAGCGCTAGTGATTATCTATGAAGTAATATCATATGTATATTCTTACTGTATGACCATTGAGTAACTAGCCCCTAAATGCCATGGTACGGCTGAGAGTGGGGGGAGTCCCCTCTCTGCCGAAATGCTCTCGCATGGCCACGTACATACAACCACTGTCATGATGTCCTACTCATTGCTTTCTGTCGGCGGAGGTGTTGTTTACGAAATTGAGAGGATGATAAGCAAATATCCGGCGCTTTAAGAAGGTTTGTGGATATGTAGGTGTTATAACTTGTGACCTGTGTGCCCTGTTAATGTATACGTCATGATACCAGCAACTAGAGAGCAGGAAATTATCGATCGGACCAATGACGCGTAAAACCCGTACGAGCAGCCTAGAGTCCTTATCGGTTCTGCTTCCTGCCTAGCCCAGCCAGTTAAGTCCAAAACACCAATCTTAGCCTCTGCAAGATGAATCCTTTATTTCAAACATACTAGGTTTATATACCAACCAGACAGACCACATCGTACCAATAAAATAGGAAATAACATTTGTACAAGATTTAGCCAAATGTGGCTGTGAATGTGGGAGACTGTAATTAATAGACAGGGTATAATTCAAGAATGGTAAATCGTATAAAATAGTTCATAGGTCAAAATAAGGTTCATAATAAGATGGACATGAATATGAATAGTTTAGTTACTTAACAACTATACGATAAAAATATACACATAGTATCGGTCCATAAATGGATCCGAAAAGTTACCATTCATTATTTACATTGGGACAAAACAGGAGGATCCAACTATGAGTTGGAAAACCTTGATTTCAAACCAATGGTGCACATGGGCTCCATTATCGTAAAGGAACAATTGGCGTATGAACCAAGTATTGGTCACCGTCTTCCATGGGACTGCGTCTCCTGATGTTGCTCCACCGCCTCGTGGATCAGACTTTCAAGTCGAAGGCTCCGGTTGTGGTCACCTAAGAAAACCACCTACTTCCATCTGGGCACTCGTGCAGTATCACAGCCCTCACACATATCCAATGAGATCTGTGTGATGCATATGTATTCGGTACCTCCTTGTACCAATATCTATGTGTTAAATTAATAATGAGTTACTGTTATATGATTTACTATTCTCAAGTTATTCTCAATCTATTAATCACAGTTTCTCACAATCACCGATACTTTTGCCTTGTTCTTCTATAAATGTTATTTTCTATTTCATGGTGTGATATAGTTTGATTTGTTTGTATAAAAACTCAATATGTCTGTATTATATGATTCGTATCGCAGAGGCTAATATTGACGTCGTGGATCAAAACCGTCTGAATGAAAGAACAATAGTGTTTGTAAGGAAGTAAGATGGGCAAATAGTGTATATAATGTGTTGTTATCATATTTTACATTTACAGTGTATGATTTTGCATGATAATACACTAACTTGGTTTATCTCATTCAAGTCTTTGTTCATTACATATATATACATGATATTATTACTATTCTAGGTCACACATACTTTATTAAATTCAAGTACTGATCCATTTCGTTATGATAATGAAGTACCTATGAAACAATCATTTAAATTAAATGTAAGTTATAGGATTTGTTTTAATCAATTGTTTTATGTTCGGTTATAAAATTATTGTTACATGGAAAATCTTGTCAAGGAAGTACTTACTTACTTACTTACTTACTTACTTACTTACTTACTTACTTACTTACTTACTTACTTACTTACTTACTTACTTACTTACTTACTTACTTACTTACTTACTTACTTACTTACTTACTTACTTACTTACTTACTTACTTACTTACTTACTTACTTACTTACTTACTTACTTACTTACTTACTTACTTACTTTACTTACTTACTTACTTACTTACTTACTTACTTACTTACTTACCTACTTCCTTTACTTACTTACTTACTTGCTTACTTACTTACCTACTTCCTTTACTTACTTACTTACTTACTTACTTACTTACTTACTTACTTACTTACTTACTTACTTACTTACTTACTTACTTACTTACTTACTTACTTACTTACTTACTTACTTACTTACTTACTTACTTACTTACTTACTACTTACTTACTTACTTACTTACTTACTTACTTACTTACTTACTTACTTACTTACTTACTTACTTACTTACTTACTTACTTACTTACTTACTTACTTACTTACTTACTTACTTACTTTACTTACTTACTTACTTACTTACTTACTTACTTACTTACTTACTTACTTACTTACTTACTTACTTACTTACTTACTTACTTACTTACTTACTTACTTACTTACTTACTTACTTAACTTACTTACTTACTTACTTACTTACTTACTTACTTACTTACTTACTTACTTACTTACTTACTTACTTACTTACTTACTTACTTACTTACTTACTTACTTACTTACTTACTTACTTACTTACTTACTTACTTACTTACTTACTTACTTACTTACTTACTTACTTACTTACTTACTTACTTTACTTACTTACGCCTGTTACTCCTCTTGAAGGAGCATAGGCCGCTCACATCAAGAAAGTAAGATGCGGAAAATTGTTTATTGACTCTTTCATTCATAAACATTTCATGATGAAATCTTTCTACAAACTCATTATGATCAAACTCAATGTTTATAGAATATGATATAAATAAACATCTATGTAACAGTATGAAATAATGAAGATTTCAAAGTAGTAGTAGTGTGATATGTGCTACTGATATCGACAGATATAAGTAGTATGTATTATCAATCGAAAATAATAATTGATTGACATTTCACAGAACGAATTATCAAGTTTAAGACAATTGATTGATGTTTTGTTAATGAAGAATTTACTGTATGGTTCTTAGATTTGACTAAGAGATTTTATAGTTTTGTGCTGAAATACATTCGGTCGTCCCGTTGATGTTCTCGTTCACTACAGTAGTATTAATAATGGCGAAAAGATTAAACATAAAGAATTATTTTGTCTTTTTGAAATATAGCTGATGAAGTAAAAAGATTGTCAAATAATATTGAAACTTAGAATGTAAGGGAAATGTAAACAATGTATGGATCCGTGCTAACTAAACTCGCTAACCATTTGTTGTGATTATCATATAGATCCTAATTATTCGACAATAACCTACAAAAATTAGGACAACTGTTAATGACTCGATAAACTGAAGGTTCTGAATTGGGTTCTTGATAGGTAAAATCATAGATGCGCCAAATTGCGTAATCCTTTGTGTTGAGCTGTATATTTGTAGACCATGATTACATCCGCCCCCGAATGCCCTGGTACGGCCGAGAGTGGAAAGAGTCCGCTCACTCTTTCGAAATGCTCTCTCATGGCCACGCGTATACTGCCTCTGTTAGGGAAGTCCTACTCACTGCCTTCTTGTATCACAGGTGTTGTTTACGAAAATGAGAGGACGAAAAGTGAATGTCCGGCGCTTTAACCGGATCCCAAATCAATGGTGCACATGGGCTCCAGTATCCTGCGAGAACTAATGGCGTATGAACCAATCGTTGGTCACCGGCTACCATGGGACTGCATCTCCTTACGATGCTCCACTGCCTTGTGGATCACATGTTCAGGTCGAAGTCTCGGGTTGTAGCCCTTTAAGAAAACCACCTGCTTCGGTCTGGGTACCCGGACAGTATAACAGTCCTCACACAAATGAAATGAGATTTGTGTGGCGCATATGTATTTGGTACCCCCTTGTACCAATATCTATATGATTCCATCCGAAATTCAAATCAACTTTGTCTAATATTACAGGGAAACTTTATCACTGAATCATTTGCTAGTTTAAATTTACTTTTTCAAAGTCTGAGATACATCCACAAATATCTTGGCGGACGGCAACTTAAGTAACCATATTTTCATCAAAAATATGATCGAATGGCTATAAAATTTGGTAGTAGGAACAATAGATTTAATCTTGACCCGAATCTACCATTGGTTAATAATCCTTATTTAGTTCTATTAGTACTGGTTAAATTGGATTGATCAAGTTGCATTGTAACTATTTGATATCATGTGCACTATCTTTTGTTATTAAGTGGGTAAAATCAATCGACAAATAGTAATGTATTCATTTAAGATCATAAACTGATTGATGTTAGACCACCATTAAAAACCTGGAAGCACCAGACGGTCATTTTGACCTATTGTGTGACTCCTTAGCAGTACGTATCCACGATCTTAATCAAAAAAAAAAAATTAATAATCTCCATAACCCCTGAACTGATAGTAATGTATTCATTAAGGTTTGACAAAGGCTAAGAACTAGAAAGAAAATATGAAATGGTTTATTGTTGAATGTGATCCCCCAGTGTAAAATCGTTTTTCATGTTACAGATTGAGAGATCAATGGATTGTATAAGAGAGATGTGAATAACTCAATTGTAAAATTTCATTGTGATATTGGATAACTTGGATCCTATAAATAGTACTCATTCTCTCATAGTTACTTATATTGTTTATTGTTAACAAGTATCTTTAATTCCTTAACTTCTTTTATATCAACGTTTAAATTTATCATATTGTTATTGTTTATTTTTGATTTCAATGAAAGGATGTTACATTAACGGAATTTCGTACAAAATTTTGGAATGCATTAGATACAGGATCAGAACCATATAAGTAAGTTTTAATATGGTTAATTATTGATAATAGAATTAGTTATTCTTACCGAACAAAAGTAGGAGAGACTTATTGTAAGATCTTTTATGGAAAAAGATGGTTACTAGCGATTTCACCAGTGGATAATATGGAATTTTCTTCCAATTATGCTCTATATGGATATATTCAAATGTGTATATCAGAGATATGTACATCCCGGTGATACACATAGACATAGATGAGCGCAGTTGTTAGTATGCGTTACATGAAATCATGTAATGCACGAACAAGTCCACTCATCTTACGAGTACATAAAAGCATAGAGGTTTTCGCTCGCAAGTATGCTATACATGCGCACAGATCACACATAGGCTGAAACCTATACACTTCATCGGACACATATAGATATAGATGAGATCACTCCAGGTCGCAACTCAGCGGCTTTTTCCGTTAAATCAAGTACTCAAATCAGTATGTAAATAAGTCGTCATAGACAATATGCCCACTTCACACTCATACTACAAGCAGTTTTAATATCGACTCGTATGTACTGGTTATGACACAGTTTATGACCAACGCTCTGATCCGCTTTTCCAGATAGGAGCTGTTCAGGCATTGAAGGGAAGTTAACCTTTCTCCTCTTGGTAATCAGAATTTATAGTGAGTGATTAACCCAATAGTCATCTTTGGTAGATCGCCTGATTAGCCCTATATCTATTAGTTTCAGCAGAGTGGACGGTCTCTCCGGTCTTTTCTTTGCTGCTTGCATTAGTTTAATGGGTAAACGATCACTCACTATCCGAGGAGCACTACGCGAAACTGAAAGTCGGACTTTATCATACTACGTTTATAAGAATTAATTAGTTCATTATTCTTTTGAATGAGGACTTTATAAGTTTTTTGCTGAGTTGCAATTCAATTCGGTTATTTTAGAATTTTGTTGTGCTTTCAACTACACCACTAATAAGCAATTCATTAATTTCCCTATTGTATTTATCACGCAAGTCGTTAATCAAAAGAGAGTAATGAAACTTCATCAGTTGAGATGTCTGGGATACATGTTACGTATGCCTAACCACCGGCTGCTCCGACGTGCGATGTTTTATGGTGTAGGAGTAGGTTGGAAAGAAGTTAGGGGCAGTCAGATCAAAACATGGTACAAATCCATGATGTGATTAACAAGTGGACTTATCGATGTTGGTAGGTGTAGACTACCTGATTGGGATTCGCGAGATGATAGGAATCGATGGTTAGAGACCTTGGATGACATGGCTCGTAATCGTTTACAATGGCGCAGGTGTGTATCCACTCTTTGCGTACTCTCAAATTCTAACCTTCTGAATTCTTCATGTCCCTTATTTTTTCTCTTTCCAAATTTATTTCGCTGGATTATACTCCTTGAATAACATCTTCAAACCCTAGTCTTTCCGATTTCTGCTTATACTCTTACCACCTCTACTACTATGGGATTTGAATCGACAATTGTATCTGTGTGCTAATGTGATATGGCAACTCGAACTGATGTACGTACGTATGTACGAAGTTCTACGTTGTTGCTGACCGCGCATCCACAATCTTGCCCCCCGCTGGATTCGAACCAAGGATCTATCAGTCTCGCATACGAGCGCTTCCAGTGCTCCAGTGCTTACAGGTTTTTCATGATGATCCATCTTCAATTGACTCATGATTTCAACTATTGAAATTATGATAATATTCACAAAACCCTCTTCTCATAATATAACTAGATGTTTCAGAAGGGGTTTTGTGGATATTGTAGTAATTTAATAGTTGAATACAGGAGTCAATTCAACTGAAAAGCCGTGACCAGTAGAGATTAATCAAGTCTGTTATGAGGCAGTAACCCACTGAAAACAATGATGGACGGTGGCACAATTTCATGAATTGATTGAAGTTAGACATTAACACAGTTGGATATGGGTTCTGTGGTCTAGAAGTTAAGCGTGCGCGTTCAAGTCGAGTTCACCATACCACCGAATCGCCAAATGGTTAGCGGAAAAATTGGAACCGGTTAGAAGGCAAGTATCTAAATATTCTATTCATGATACTTTTCAATTTATTGATCGTATTAAGGACATTAATACTTCCGGAAAACACATGTTCTCGCTTGACGTTAACTCTTTGTTCACTAGCGTACCTTTAACCGAAACGATATGCTATATATGTGAGTATATAGATTCTAACAACATAGATCTAGGTTTACCGACTGAACACTTGAAAGAACTATTGTTACGCTGTACTTTTAATGTCCAATTCAGTTTCAATAATGAAATATATAGACAAAGGGATGGGATCGCAATGGGGTCTCCATTGGGTCCAATTTTAGCAGACTGTTTCATGGCAAAAGTAGAAAACGACCAACTCCGTTCAATGATCAATCGATTTCACGTATACGTGAGATACATGGACGACACGTTTATCGTTTGTGACAATAATATTGATCTAGATGATATTTTACACACTTTTAACTCATGCCACCCATCCATAGACTTCACGTTAGAAAGGGAACGAGACCAATCAATTCCTTTTCTCGATGTACGTCTGATGAGAAGGAGTAATGGTTCTTTAAAAAGATCCGTCTTTAGAAAACAAACATGGAATGGCCAGCTAACCAACTTCTATAGCTGGGTCCCGTTAAGTAGAAAGAGAAATCTTATCCATTCTTTATGTTATCGGATACACCAGATATGCAGTACGGAATGCATTAACGAAGAACTCGCATTCCTCAAGAAAACCTTGAAGGAAAATGGCTACCCAGAACGGTTCATAGAAAAGAATCTGAATAGAAGTAATTACGACAAGAAATCTAGTTGTTCCGTTCCGAAGAAAAACCTTTATATAAGTCTGGAATTTAAAGGTGATCGAACATCAGATGTGATCAAAAATCGTCTAACAACAACGATTAGAAGAACATTTAATGCAGCTAAACTGCGAATAACCTTCACTAGTAGGAACTTATTTTCTGTATTCATAAAAGATAAGCTTCCGCGTCTGGTCGCCTCTATGTGCATCTATCAGTTCACCTGCTCTTGTGGAGCAAGGTACATTGGCCGTAGCCAGCGCTCGCTTTCAACTCGGATACGGGAACATATTCCAGCTTGGTTCTATAAGGGTGAAAGGAAAGCAGTTAGGAGTTCTATACTTGAACACCTTATCGACTGTAACCATTCTACAGATCCACAAATTGATTTTAAGGTTGTTTATATGATTCGTCCAAATCTACCTAGATTTCTTCGTATCCAACTCTTAAAAATAGCCGAAGCTCTTACCATTCAGGAGCTTAAACCAGAACTATGCGTACAAAAGAAGTAAGTCTTATCGCTATTGTTACCTTGGCCTTAATTATTTTGATTATTCTATTATTATTATTATTATTAATGTTGCATCCCCCCTTTACTTATGTCTTATATTCTCATTGTTTTTATTCGTAAATACTCATCATATTACCTTATTTATTGATTTTTCACACCTCTATGACCTTTAAGTATTATAACAAAAAAAACATTTTAATCATCTTATTATATTCACTAAATCTATTGTTATTATTCGTATTACGTAATCTAGTATTATAACCCCCTTTTTATTATGTCATGGTTAACTGTGTTCACATTTCCTCATGGAATTAGTACTTTTACAAAAAAATTTTATATTGACTGACATAAACAATTCTATTACTCTTTTCTATTTTTTTTGTAGACTATTAACTGTTTACTTCAATTCAGTGAATACAATATCTCATGCATATTTTACTGTTTGTCAATTGGATTTAGCTACAATGTGGCAATTTTATGGTTATCCGTAAGAATAATACGTTTCTATTTGTTCATTAACCTCATTAATTATATTTAACATGTTACATTTCTATTAATGTAGATGATCAGTGGAGATTAGTGGATTTTGTGGTCTACATCACATACTGACCTTAGTTTGATAGTGATTAGAAACCAGGAGGCATTAGATTGCTGTTTCGTCTAGGTATGGGACTCTTCAGTGGTATAGTTTCTATGATCACATAACAGTTAGTTAGTCATGAAGTTATTATTCATCATGAACGGAGATCACTCGAAAAACTATAAAGCATCTTAGAATTCATTCAGTTTTAGTTTTAAGTTCTTCAGTATTGTGTGTGTTCAGCCCATGACCCTCCACTACTCAGGGTCTTGAACCATTAAGCATCTTCTTAATGAGTACCGTACTTCTTTTTCTATTATCAATTTCATCTTTGACACTTTTTCAAGCATCATAAGTTCTTTTAATGACATAACACATCTACATTTTTCTTTCTTTGTCTAATGCATCAAATGAATTCATAGAAATATGGCCACTGTATTGATGCAGTGTATAATTAATGCAGATTGTTTAGAACCATGTCGTTATTCTGATACTGTATTAGCTAATGCTTTTGCAAACATTATAAAAGAGTTTAATTCTATGGTAAGTTTGTTTGTCTTTTTTTTTCCATATATTATGTTATAGTCACATTTGATTTAATTGCTTGATTGTGACTTTTTCCACATTTCAGTAGTCTTCTCCACAAGACTTGTACGGCCACCATGGGATAGTCCACACTGCTCATAGATTTCCTATGAAATAGTTCCCAAATGCCCTGGTACAGTCAAGGGTGGGTAGAGTCAGCTCTCTCTCTCTCCGAACGCTCTCATATGGCCACGCATATGCAACCACTGCCAGGGAAGTGCTACTCACTACCTTCTCGTGGCTAGGGTGTTGTTTACGAAATTGAAAGGACGAAAAGTGAATGTCCGGTGCTTTAACCCGGTTGGTGGGTATAAAGGATCCACCTACGGGAGTTGGAAAACCCTGATTCTAAACCAATGGTGCACATAGGCTCCAGTATCCTTAGGGAACAAATGGCGTATGAACCTATTGTTGGTTACCGGCTTCCATGGGACTGCATCTCCTAAAGTTGCTCCAATGCCTTGTGGATCATCTATTTAGGTTGAAGGCTCCGGTTGTGACCCTCTAAAAAAAATCGCCTGCTTCCGTCTAAGCACTCGGGCAGTATCACAGCGCACATGCAAATCAAGTGACTTGTCTGGCGTATTCGGTTCCCCTTTGTACCGATATTTCAACATAACTTCGCATCCTTATCAGTTTATAATGTAAAAATTATTTCCCATTTAAGAGTTATTTCTAACTTTTGTTAACATTTTATCTCTCTCTCTCTCTTCAAAGGGATCAATTGAGACAGCATTAAAATTATCTAAAATATGTCGATCTATATTGTGTCGTTTTCCAAATCAATCACCTTTATTACAAGCTAGTATGGAAGTTGAACTAGAACAACATCTACGATCTGGTTATGATTTAGCTCAATGCGATCGTTTAGTTAATTCACTAAAACTTTATTGTCCATGGGAAGCTGCTATAAGGTAAGTTTATCGTTAATTGATTGTAGTTAAATCCCTGTCATAAAAACTGATATCAACTAGACAACTACCGTTGAAAATATTAAAAAAGAACACTGTACAGTTGTTTTTCATTTGGCTAAAGAGTCACAAAATCAATACAAAATAGCTATTCAGTACTTCGATAGGTTTTCAATGGTAGTTCTCTAGCTGATATCGGTTCATCGGTCAAAAAAAAAACCCCAACTAACTTCCATGAAAACAAATATTTGAGCAGAATAATACATATAGCTTGATTGTTTATTGATGTTATAGTTTGACAATTATTTAATTACTCCAAGTTACAAACCATTGGGAGATTCTTATTATACGAAAAAAGATTTAGACCAACTATACAGATTGGCCCCCAAATGCCCTGGTACGGTCGAGAGAGAGAGGTGGACCCGCCCTTCTTCTCGAAATGCTCTCACACGGCGACGCGTATACAGCGTTTGCCAGGGAAGTTCTACTCACTGCCTTCTCGTGGCGGGGGTGTTTTTGTTTAGGAAAATGAGAGAACGGAAAGCGAATGTTCGGTGCTTTAACCGGATCTCAAACCAATGGTGCACATGGGCTGACTCCACGATCCTGAAGGAACAAATGGCATATGAACCAATCGTTAGTCACCGACTACCATGGGACTGCAATCTCGTTACAATGCTCCACTGCCTTGTGGATCAGATCTTCAGGTCGAAGGCTCAGGGTGTGTCCCCCTAAGAAAACCACCTGCTTCGGTTTGGGCACCCGTGCAATATCACAGCCCTCACACAAATCAATTGAGATTTGTGTGGCTCATATGTACTTGGTGCCTCATTGTACCAATATCTATGTGTTAAAATAAATAAATAAATAATAAATTTCACTGGTTGAAATCATGAATCCATTGAAGCTAGACCACCATGGAAAACCTGAAAGCAGTGGACGGCCGTTTCGTCCTATTGTGAGACTCCTCAGCAGTACGCATCCATGATCGATTCAGTATCTTCAGTGATGTGATGCTGTTATACATACGTTTATTATTTACTTGTATAAAATGTATTATAATTAATTGATTTCTAGATTAGGATATATGTAAACAACTTTAATTTATACTTAAACATAATAGTTTATATGACATTCAATTATCAATTATACAATTGTATGTTACCATTCATTTTTTGTATTATCCTCTTTAAATATTTCTAGCTATATATCATTCTTAATTTCTTTTCACTTTGTATCAATTATATTTGTTGCATTTAAAGTATACTATTTACATTTAGTTATCTACTGTAGTTTATATTATTTATTTATTTATTTATTTATTTATTTTAACACATAAGTATAGGTACAGGGAGGCACCAAATACATATGCGCCACACAAATCTCAATTGATTTGTGTGAGGGCTGTGATACTGCCCGTGTGCCCAAACCGAAGCAGGTGGTTTTCTTAGGGGACCATACCCCGAGTCTTCGACCTGAAGATCTGACCCACAAGACAGTGGAGCATGGTAAGGAGATGCAGTCCCATGGTAGCCGGTGACCAAGAAATTGGTTCATACGCCATTTCTTCCTTCAGGATACTGGAGCCTATGTGCACGATTGGTTTTAGAATCAAGGTTTCCCAACTCCCGTAGATGAATCCTTCATACTCACCAACCGGGTTAAAGCACCGGACATTCAATTTTCATCCTCTCAATTTCTTAAATAACACCTCAGCCACGAGAAAGTAGTGAGTAGGTCTTCCCTGGCAGAGGCTATATACACATGGCCATGTGAGAGCATTTGGAGAGGAAGAGCAGTCTCTCCCCACTTTCGGCCTTACCAGGGCATTGCGGGGAGGGGGCTATAGTTTGTATATGTGTACATGTAGCTTTATGCAACCACATTCGTAACCAGCTCATTTTTTATAAATAAAAATAAACTTTCATATGGATATTACATCATAAACTGTTAGTTTATAATTGTATTTTTTTTTGTCATTTCAATTTATAGGCAAGCTGAAGTTGAACAAAAACGTGGCAATGTATCTTATACACATGATATTCTACGCTATATTATTGATAGTGTAATAGCAAGACGTGATCATGACTGTGGAGTATTACAACAATCAGCGAATATGAATAATAATAATAATAATAAGTTATTATATTCCAATGAATTATGGAATCAAACAAAACCATTTTCCCATTTAATATTGCCTACATTTCCTGAACATACTCCTGTTGGTGGATTATGTAAATTAGCATTGATTGAACTACGTGCACATTTAGCTTTAGTAAGTGCCTATTTTTATACAATACAATCACTCATATTTGTATTGTTCTCATTAATAAATATGGATAATACTTATAATCTGTTCAGTGAATACACGAACTCAAGTCATAACATTTAAAGCAAATCACGTTTCTTCTCATTTATCTATTTATTTATTTAAACACACAAACATTGGTATACAAGGAGGCACGGAATAGATATGCGCCACATAAATCATTCGATTTGTGTGAGGGCTGGGATACTGTCCATGTGCCCAAACCGAATCAGGTGGTTCTCTCAGGGGGCTGCAACCGGAGACTTCCACCTAAATAGATGATCCACAAGGCAGTGGAGCAACGTCAGGAGATGCAGTCGCTTGGTAGCCGGTGACCAACAATTTTTTCCTTCAGAATGCTGGAGCTCAAGTGCATTATTGGTTTAGTAACAGGGTTTTCCAACTCTCCGTGTCCGTCAACACGGTTAAAGCGCCAAGCATTCGCTTTTTATCCTTTCAGTTTCGTAAACAACACCGCCACGAGAAGGCAATGAGTAGGACTTCCCTTAAAGTGATTGTATTTCTTATCTATTCGAAATATCTGTATAAGTTAGGCTGTAATGCTATGCAAGCCCAAACAGTTTATTCTAGCTTTCGGACAGGTTAATCTATCCATTCTTCTTGAGTCACATTTTTTGACCTTGTCACTTATTCGCTTATCAACCTTGACTGTTGTTTACTTAAGCATATACATGTGCATTTCCTATCCTATTCATCACATGTCTGTAACTTATATTTTTGTCCGACTATAAATATCGATTCACGCTTGGTTAAATGGAGTTGGCTCATATTCCTTGTCCACCGCGTGTCATTTCATTTCGCTTCTCTTCATTCGTTGTGATTCTCTAATTGCCTATTCAGATCAACGATCGGATATCATTCTCGTATTTGATTTGTTTAATTCCTTTATTCACTAACATAATATACAAGGATTGGTAATGTGTTTATTTCAATAACAATCATTCATACGATTTAACTGGAGTCAAATATAGAGCTATTAAAAGGCTATTCAGTTACTTCATGGTACAGACGATCAATCAGTAAGACAGTAAACTGGCTAATCAGAAAGCACAATAGATTGCATATATCCAATATAACTCACTTTCGATATAGCATAGTATTCAACAATTCGGAAGGGATTCAATTCTTATCTTCCTTTCAGCTTTTAAGGTAGCGGAAATCGATTGTTGTAATATTTGATATGAAACATATGTATTGTAAATTCTCATGTTACTATCTAATTCCTTGTGAAGTTCTATTACCTTAGCTCTTTTCCATTCTCTACATATAGAACATTTTATACTTTATTTATTAAATATCTGTCGTCCAATCGTTGAGTTTCCAGCTAGATCAGTTTGAACAGTAGGATTCAACGTCATCACCTTTTACTTACTTACGCCTGTTACTCCTCGTGAAGGAGCATAGGTCGCTCACCAGCATTCTCCATCCAACCCTGTCCTGGGCAAATCTTTTACACAGACATAAATATGTGGTTCAAAGTTCGAAGTACACGTGTCTGTATCCAGTTAATGATTTCCATTATTGACTGACATTAACTGGATAGTTGTCCTATATACTAGTTTGAAATTTTTTTAATTCATACAGTTGACCTGATGATCCATGGAGTGGAGTCGAACGCAGAACTTGTATTCCTCATAGACAGCACGATGCTTTCTAGATGGTTTGAGTCCTAACTCAATAATTTGTATTTTTTATGTTGTTGTAGAGAAACTTTACAAAAGGAATATGAAACTACTTCATTCTTTGTAAATATGACAGCGGTGTGATCACTTAAGCTGTTTCGTATATTTACCAAGTTCTATGTTGCTTATAACTTACTTACGCGTGTTACTCCTCGTGGGGGAGGATAGGCCGCCCACCAGCACTCGCCATCCAACCCTGTCCTGGGCAATGCTTTCCAGTTGTTATTTATTCTTTTCATATCTGATTCTATTTCCCGACGTAATGTGTTCTTTAGCCTTTCTCTATTCTGCTTCCCTTCAGGATTCCAATTTAGTGCTTGCCTCGTGATGCAGTTTGATAATTGGCGTAATGTATGTCGTATCGATTTCCATCGTGTTTCTTCCTAATTTCATCTTCAGGTGGTAGCTGGTTTGTTCTCTCTCATAGTAGGCTGTTGCTAATGGCATCCGACCAATGAATATTGAGTATCTTGCATAGACAACCATTTATAAATACTTGTACCTTCTTGATGATGATGGTATTAGTTCTTCAAGTTTCAGCTCCATTATTATTTTATTTTAACACATAGATATTAATACAAGGAGGCATCAAATGCATATGCGCCACACAGATATGTGTGAGGGCTGTGATACTGACCGGGTGCCCAAATCGAAGCAGGTGGTTTTCTTAGGAGGCCACACTCCGAGCCTTTGACCTGAAGATCTGATCCAGAAGGCAGTGGAGCATCGTGAGGAGATGCAGTCCCATGGTAGCCGGTGACCAACGATTGGTTCATACGCCATTTGTTCCCGCAGGATACTGGAGCCAGCCCATGTGCACCATTGGTTTGAGATCCGGTTATAGCGCCGGACATTCACTTTTCGTCCTCTCATTTTCGTAAACAACACCTGTGATACGAGAAGGCAGTGAGTAGGACTTCCCTAACAGAGGCAATATACGCGTGGCCATGTGAGAGTATTTCGAGAGGGAGAGCGGACTCATTCCACTCTCGGCCGTACGAGGGCATTTGGGGTACTCCCAACTATAGAACTAATCGTCTTGATGTTTATATTGAAGATTCTCTACTTTGATATTGATTGAAAGATAGTTGTTTTGAGTTCCATTTATTCTTCAATTGTAAGCATGCGATCTTTAATTTGTTTATACACTGATATCATAATAAAGATTCTTTTTTTCTTTCTTTTTTTGTATAATCTCATCTTTTCATTATTGAACAGATTGAATTGTTGATTACATTAAAACTTTATGTATATGCTTTCAATGAGATTGATATCACAATCAAGTTATGTAAACATTATCAATTAAATTTAGGTATAGAAATAATTAAATTATTACAATGTGCTATACATTTATCCATACATAATAATATAATGATTAATACTAATACTTATACTAATACTAATGATATCCATGACAACAATACTATAATTGATCATAATGTTAATACAACTACTATATGGATATATGAATTGAAACAAATCAATTCTAATGTTATAATTGAATTAAATAATAGTTTACAAGAACTATTACATCGTACAGATCAATTAACAAAATATCGTTGTCAAGTATTTTTAAGTCGTACACGACTTTTAATTAATATTAATGAGAATAATCATTTATGTAAGTCACTATATATATATATATATATATATATATATATATATATATATATATATATATATATACTTTTTCATGAGATATGGGAGGGGGGGGTGTTTGTGGATATTATAATGATTTAATAGTTGAATTCATGGGGTCAATTAATGTGAGACTACCATTAAAAAACCTGAACAGCCGTTTTGTCGATGGACAGTGGTATAATTTCGTGGATTGGTTGAAGTTAGACATGAACACTGTGTTAGATGATGGCCGGCGGTCAAGTGTGAGACTGATAGATTCTGGGTTCGAATCTGGTGAGGTGAAATCGTGGATGTGCACTGGTGAGAGGTGTCATAATAGGACGAAACGGCTATCTAGTGCTTCCAGATTTTCCATGTTGGTCTAGCTTCAATTGACTCATGAATTCAACTATTAAATATATACATTTGTTAGTTGTGTTATTTATTTCTTGTGAATTATTTTATGTAAACTATAGAAAAGTTATTCGACATAATGATGATGATTTTATTTTAACACATAGGTATTGGTACAAGGGAGGCACTAAATACATATGCGCCACACGAATCTCAATTGATTTGTGTGAGAGCTGTGATACTGCTTGGGTGCCCAGACCAAAGCAGGTGGTTTTCTTTGGGGGGCCACACCATACCACGTTGAAAGCACCGGTTCTCGTCCAATGATGATGATAATAATATTCTTTCTATTTACAATGTAGATTTGATGTGTCAGTGATAGATAATAAAGAATTCTTAACATTATTGAATCAATATCAGTTGAATTCTATTGATCTAAGGGCTAGATGAACAACTTAGAGATCATTTAGTGTAAATAATTTATTCTTACAGATCAATGAAGTCGCGAATAGTAAAATGATCCTGGATAATTTGAGTTAGTATCCAACAGGGAGCATCGATCCCTTCAAGATTGTGGACACAATTGGCTGATGACTAGTGTTGACTGACACAAAATCTAGATCTTCCTGGCTTCAGCTGTCTATCTGTTAGGTTTTGAAAGAGAGAGAGAGATCACGGGTTCTCGTAGTTTACAAACGAGAACGAGATTCAATGACCAACGACCAGTAAGCTATCTATTGACGCGTCCCAGCCCCGCTATCTAGAGAGAGAAGACCAAGCTTGGAATGAAATATATTCTACAACAACCCGAAACCAGCAAACCTTTTTTTACAAGACAATTTTAAAACGTATATATACAATTATATATACATCGATATTGTCATGGAGCTTTTAAACATTTAATCGATAGTTCGTCAATTGACTGCCATTGAAATATTTAAACATTTAATCGATAAATTCGTCAATCAACTATGTGCTTGGGTGGTAAGAAATGCCCACGTATACATGTGCATACAAGCTCCACAAGATAAAATTACAAACTATGACTTTTGGGGGATCTACCGTCCTCAACACTATCATTGAGTTAACTTACTTAAGTGAAACGTAGATTTTATCAACCTATTGATATCAGCGAACTGAGTTACAGTCCGTAATACAGTTGTTGTAGTGTGTGAACTTATTAAGTTATGCTATGTCCTCAATAGACTTATATGTGTTTTCATTCTGTTTCAGCTCTAGTCTCTAATATGACTAGACTCGTAGCCATTAAACAAATGCAATAGGCCTAACGTCAGCTTAACCGAAAGGAGTACTTGCTCATTAGCCCATCCATATATAACAATTCAGTTTAAGTTAATACGGTACAGATATCTGCATGACAGAGTACTTGTTGTAGCCATTCAATTTAGTAAAACTTCATGACATACGACTAACAAACTTCATCAAACTTTTTACTTTCGATACCTAACACACGGTCGGTTAAGTAGAAAACGTATGCGGAATATTGTGAAGTCTTCATTCAAATATACTTGCTACAAATCAAGGAAATAACAATTCCCGAATCTGTCTAAAATGTACTGCAGTAGCTGTGAATTACTGCCTGAAGATTGTAAAACACTGTAACCATATACGAATACATTTCACGGAATATAAAAACTGGCACACGTATAAACTTTCACCAATTACACGATGCTCGCGTATTCATTCAATGGACGTAGCTGTTACCTTAATGCATCAGGCCAATAGAGTTATACAGTTTACAATATTTGTCTTTTGTGCTTTCATCATGCCAATCACATCGGTTGGATAGCGGTAAAACTAAAAGCATTAAATTTAAAGTTCAAGTGAAGATCTCACTATCGACTTTACTCACACTAAAATGTTTCACACAGATACCTAGCATTTTCAGTAATCCTGCTTTCCCACAGACTGACACGAGTTGAAAGGGAGATTGGTGCTAAAGATAATAACCTCCCCCTATGCACCATAGACTCCTAATCCCAGTGGTAATCATTTTAGGCTAACATTATGTGTAATCGCTCTAAAACAATTGTCTCTAGGTCTTTGTGGTGATCCTCCCAGGTTCACAAGAGTATCATTACTAAACCGATTTCCTTCTATCTGATCCGTTGTTAAGACATCTCTTCCTGAAGTGTGGGTAATCATGTGTTAGTTACCGTCCACACACCCCTCTCTCTTTCTCTATCACTTGAATCGATCTACTAACTTGGACATAATTATTTTCTATCGTTTATTTTTTTTCTTTTCTCTTCCCTTGTAGTTATTCAAATGCATATAGCAGAACTTTTAAAAGCACTTAACTATTATCGACAATTAGATGATAGAAAACGTATACTTGATATTCTAGTATTAATGGTATGTTTAATTAAATTATAAAGATATTTTGTCAAAATGAATTTCTAATTTAATATGACTCTTGTCTATCAAGTGTACTCGATAATTTATTCACACTATAAAGTGAGTTTCTTGGAACGTTATCCAACTATCCAAACATAAGTAGCTGAAGCATAGTTCATATCTGAAGTTTAGTAGCTGAAATCCAAGTCAGTCAGTTACAACATAAGGACCAGGTACATAGATGCATCGGTTCAAGTTGTTATACCGTACTAGCTGAAATCCAAGTGCGTTAACTATACACTCGAACAAGAAATCGTTTGTCGTTTGATTATTAAGATTAATCCCATCAAATATTTACTTTCGTACTTTAATGATAGATAGACACTTGACATTTGATCATTATTAACATTGATTCAATACAACCTCGTAGAGAAAGAGAAAGAGATACACAAAAGCCACAAGACAGACTAATCCACGAATCATTTGTTTGTTTGTTTTTTTTCTTTGCCAAAAGGTTTATAGTAACTCATTAGTAGTGTTTAAAGCGATCAATATCAGTTATTATTATATATTATTTTAACACATAAGTATAGGTACAGGGAGGCACCAAATACATATGCGCCACACGAATCTCAATTGATTTGTGTGAGGGCTGTGATACTGCCCGGGTGCCCAAACCGAAGCAGGTGGTTTTCTTAGGGGGCCACACCCCGAGCCTTCGACCTGGACGTCTGACCCACAAGGCAGTGGAGCATCGTGAGGAGATGCAGTCCCATGATAGCCGGTGACCAACGATTGGTTCATACGCCATTTGTTCCTTCAGGATACTGGAGCCCATATGCACCATTGATTTGGGATCCGGTTAAAGCGCTGGACATTCAATATCAGTATAGAAACATCATTTAGTAGTAATTCGTTCTTAACAATACAAATTGTATAGACTGTTGTGTTAATACTCACTGAAAACTGTGCTGTCTATTTTTTATGCTGTGAAGTTGTTTCATTGTTCGTGAGATGGCTTCCTTTCTTGTCATGTTATTTTCAGTAAACTGTAGTAAATTCTCGATTAACTATTAAGGGAATTGTCTTCATGCAGGTGTTTATGCATTGGGTCATAAATCATACTAAATTTTGAGAGACAACGATCTTCGACATAATTTCTAGACCTACTTAATCTCAAACCTGTTGTTATGGATAGTGTGAGACTTTTGGTACTGCCCTAAACAACCCCGATACCTAAGGATGTAATTTTTTTTTTGAGCCTTTTACTTAAAAAACTTAATCTAGACTTGCTTAATACAGTAAGTTTGTAAGTAGAAAGTCAATCCGTTGTAATGAACGTAGATCCATAAATAAATATTTATCAGTTTAAACTGGTACATATATTAGCACAGCGAGATGAATGGTTAACGAGTCGAACAAATAACAGTATTATCGATATTCGGAAGCACTAAATATTAGAGAATCAAGTTCGAAGAGAATGGATTCCCTGAATAAGAAATATCACAATTCAGAATCTAAGAGGGAAAGATAAAGAATAAATACATTTGTACCATTATAGCTGATTGTGAACCGTATTAACGACGATCTCCAACTATTGATCATGATTATTGCACATACTTCAACTGGGTAGTCTGGGCCTAGTAACACATCTCAGACTAAAAGTTAATGATGAATATATATTTTTGTTATATCCTAATGAGTAGAAAAATTATTCTGACGCTTGGTGATTTAATGTAAGCCACTTACTCTGAAGAAGCGCCTTACATTAAGTCACGAAACGTCAGGATAATTCTCCTATTCATTGGGATATAACAAAAATACATTTCAATTATGGAGATCATGAGTCAATTGAAGCTAAACCACCATGGGAAACCTGGAAGCACTGGAAGGTCGTTTCGTCCTATTATGGGGCTCTTCAGCAGTTCATCTACGACCCCGCCCCGCGGGATTCGGACCTATCAATCTCGCGCTTAACCACTAGACCACTGAGCCGGCCGTCATCCAACGATGTTAATGTCTAACTTGAACTAATCCGCGAATTTGAGCAACACATTCATCATTGTCATCAGTGAGTTATATGGTGGTCTAGCTTCAATAGACTCATGATCTCAAGTATTTAAATTAATGAGATCTCTTCAAAACCCCTTCTGATACTAATCAACATATACTCATTTGTTACTGGCTTCAAGTGTTATTTCCTGGAGTTCTAGTGAGTTTAACCGGATCTGTTGTGAGATAGTAACTCACGGAACACTACGGTAGATGTGTCACTCAATTTCGTGAATTAGTTAAAGTTAGACATCAACACCATTGGATCCCGGTCGGTTCAATGGTGTAGAGGTTAAATGTTCGCGCGCGAGACTGTTTGGTCCTGTGTTCGAATATTGCGGGCTGGGATCATAGATTCGCACTGCTGAAGAGTCCCATAATATGACGAAACAGCCATCTAATGCTTCCAGGTTTTCCATGGTGATCTAGCTTTAATTGACTTATAATCTCAACTATTGAAAAATATATTTATTAACTTTCTATCTAATATTCAATTTATTTAAAACTATCAAATTCAACCTTGACATTGATACCTATAATAGTTAATGGTTTTTGTTTTTTAATAATACATTTTAATTCGATTGCTCTTAACTTTCTTTTATATCTCTAATTGTATAAGATATATTTACATGAACATATGTTTAATATATTTTCTTATTGACATATGTATATTCTTTATTTTAGGCAACAGCATTAAACTCAGTCAATGAATATGTGAAACGAAATGAAGTATCTAAATCATTTCACATATTACGTGAACTATTCGGTTTTAAAAGTTTACCTTCAAATCGTTTCGTGGTTGATATTTTATAAATAAGATGTATTTTTATAATAAATGTTATTTATATACATATATAATTGATTAAAGTTAGACATTAACACCATTGGATGCTGCCGGCTCAGTGGTCTAATGCTTAAGCGCTCGTGTGCGAGACTGATAGGTCCTGGGTTCGAATCTCGCGAGGGGAGGGCGAGGAAGTGGATGCGCATTGCTGAGGAGTCCTATAATAGGGTGACACGGCCGTTCAGTGCTTCCGGGTCTACTTTCAATCGACTAATGATTTCAACTATTGGCCCTGGTACGGCCGAGAGTGGGGAGAGTCCGCTCTCCCTCTCGAAATGCTCTCACATGGTCATGCGTATATAGCCTCTGCCAGAGAAGTCCTACTCACTGTCTTCTCGTATCACAGGTGTTGTTTACGAAAATGAGAGGACGAAAAGCGAATGTCCGGCGCTATAACCGGATCCCAAATCAACCGTGCACATGGGCTCCAGTATCCTGAGGGAATAAATGGCATATGAACCAATCGTTGGTCACCGGCTACCATGGGACTGCATCTCCTTACGATGCTCCACTGCCTTGTGGGTCAGACGTTCAGGTCGAAGGCTCCGGATGTGGTCCCCTAAGAAAACCACCTGCTTCGGTTTAGGCACCCGGACAGTATCACAGCCTTCACACATATCCAATGAGATTTTTGTGGCGCATATGTATTTGGTGCCTCCTTGTACCAATATCTATGTGTTAAAATAAAATAAATAAATAGTAAGGAACGGGAATACATGCTAGTTTGAAGAACGTTAAGCTGTCATTTAACGTAATCAATACAAAATTCCGACTAGTAATACTGTTTCAAAGTATATCACGACTGTTTCCCAATATTGAATGTGAGAAATGGCAGGAATAATGTGTTTTTGTAAATGTTAGTGTCAACCAAAAAACAATCTAATGTGTAGAAGTCCACTCTTTCCCGATGTCTTTTCTGTATCATTAAATTTCAATATCAATCGAAGGGGAATCACCTGTTAACCCATATTCTGTACAAAAGCACTTCTAAAAATTACGCTTTTGGAATACCCGTAATAAAATCAGCATTATATTCTTAGCTGTGCTGCGAAGCGTTGGTTCTCACATACCTGCCTTTATAATGCCCCCAGATACCCTGGTATTATCGAGGGTTGGGAGATTTGGGTCTCCCTTTCGAAATGTTTTTATATGGCCACGCGTATACAACCACTGCTTTCTTCCGGCGCGGGTGTTGTTTACTAAAATGAGAGGACTAAACGCGAATGTCCGGGCGCTTCAACCAGGTTGGTGGATATGGTATGATGACTCTTATCTGATTGTTGTTGAAATATACATCCCGACTACCCTCGTATATAATCATCGACCTAAATCGCGTCATTAAATAACGGATTTAACTAAGCCAAATATGCGATTGGATTCTGAATACGCATATATTTCTTGCAATGGTCAGTCAGTCAGCTACAACGTAGGACTAGGCACATATATGCATCGGTCCAAGTTTCTACACCTGATTACCACAACAAGATGAACACCGAATTAAAAGTAGTTACTTCAATAATAGTAATATATAAAAGATTGTGTACAGAGATATAGTGCAGAAAAAAACGTATTAAATAACTTTGACCTCACTGTTTAAAGGAAGACAAAGAGTGTATACACCGGCGCCATTCTGACCGATTTTGAACCATGTCACTCAGTCTCCAACCATTGGTAACGATAGTCACGCGGACCCCAACCAAGTTGTCTGCATCTACCAATATGGCTCAGACTAGAAGTTAGTTTATGAACTGATGTCACGTTTGGTTTGGCTGCCCCTAACTTTCTTCCAACTATCCCCAACACCGGTTAGCATTGCGCGTCGTAGTAAATGGTGTTTGCGCATACGTAACCCGCGACCCAATCATCTCAGTCGATGAAGATTTACAACTTCATCAACTGACTTATCATCATTCCCTAATACCCTGTGTCTAACCCCACCTTTACTTACCTGGTGACCCCAGCAGATGCGAGCAACATCTCTAAGGCACCTGTGATCGAATACTAGTAGCTTACGAGCATCCTATACTCTTAGTGACCACGTTTCGCAGCCGTATAGTAGAACGGAACGAACTGCCGCGCAGTATACTCGTCTCTTAATTGGTAGACGGATATCTCGCCTTCGCCATAGGTGACGTAATTTTGCAAAAGCCAAACAAGCTTTTCGAATCCGTGCTGAGATTTCGTCAGACACCAACCCTTTAGGGCTGATCAGACTTCCAAGATAAGTGAAGTTGTCGACGCGTTCGACTACTTCACCCCCTATCCTTAGTTCAGGTGTTGAAGCAAGCCAGTTCTGAATCAACAACTTGCATCTAGAGGGGGAGGAACGCGTCCTGGAATTGTTGCTCACTGCTACCAAAAGACTGCATTTTATCAGCGTCTTCACCAAACAGGACTATGTCATCTGCGTATTCTAAGTCGATAAGTGGACCCCCTAATAGAAGATCGATGCCCGAAAACAAAGTCGACGAGAACGTTGTTTATGATAAAGTTGAACCATAATGGAGATAGTGGACAGCCTTACCGGACACTACTTAAGGTTACGAAATCAAATGACAGTTTCCACAAGTTTTGACTAGACTTGTAGTGTTCGAGTAAAGAGCGTTCGCAAGGTTTATATACTTCTGAGGTAACCTTTCAATGACAGACACTGCCACACAACCTCTCGGTCCTTAGAGTAAAATGCTGCTTTTAAGTCAAGAAAGACAACCATTGTCGAATGCTGAGTCGTTGATCTGAACAATGAGACGAAGTGAAGGAAGCGAAACGAAACTTGACAACGTGCAGTGGTGGAGTCAAAGGGGTCAACTCCATTTAATCAACCGTGAATCAATATTTATAATCAAAGATAAGTTACAGACACAATGAATGGAGTACGTAATTAACACACACGTAAATGAAGACAGCCAGGGTTAATAAGCGAATAAGTAACAAGGAAAAGATGTGACTTGGGGACAATGAATAAACTGGTCTGTTCAGAAGCTGGAATAACCTATGCGGGTTTGACATAGTACCAGCCCCTGTGATGGAAGATTGACTTAGGGGAGTGGTCCCCTGAGAAAATCGCCTGCCAAGGTTTGGGCACACGGGCAGTATGCCAGCCCCACACGAATCAAATGATTTGTGTGGAGCGTATCTGTTTGGTGCCTCCTTGTACCATTAAGGAGTTCGAACTTGGTTGCCTAGTTCCGCATCAAAAGACATTGCCACTAAGCGATCGCCAAAAACCTGCAGAGCTCAGGTGTATATAAATAAAATGTTTATCTAGCTTGTGACCCACTAATTAGACACATTTTTTATTTGGAGTCTGAGTAATTAGAAAAGACACTGGATGATATGAATTTAAGTAGTCAGAGAAACGATTATGTTTGAATTCTTTACATCTTGATGTCAATGTTTCAACCTTCGTTACTCTATTTCACCAGCTATTTCGTAATATTTACTCGGATTTTAGTTCTCACCTTCATTGACGCTATTGTTCCTTTTCTATGCGTTACATCTAGCTTAGTTTACGTCTCGAATTTAAAGTAAAGTGAACCAATCGAGTAACAGACGCGCGATATTCTATGCTTTGCATTACCGAGTAAACACTGAACAATCAAATATCTGTGTTTGAGCTGAGAGACTTTGATGCAACATTTTACTTACGTTTGTCCTGAACGAAATTGTTTAAAAAAAAACATGGGATTCAAGCAAACTAGACAAAGGGAGTTAGTTGACGTGATTTTCATAGTCTGTGAAGTCAATCTGTAGAATTCAGGTGGCTTAAACTAAGCATCCAAGTTATATTCCACAAAACAAGATGTGAACGTCTGAGAAATTCAGTACAATCACGCTCACAATTTACTTTACAATTGAGTTACAGGGTAGCACAGCGTGTGTGGGAATTATATCGACTAGAATTTTTGACCTAATCTTCCAATCTCGTTAAAGCAGCACAAACACAACTCATAATAAAGGGACAGACAAGAATACAAGCAATTTACCAAAGAATTTTTAAATGTTATGTCCAAAAATGTATTGGTTTCGAGGATGGTGAAACGTCACTGTTTCAGTTTCGGATATACTTTATTCGCACAAATTGCTTGTCCTATAGATTAGGAAGTATTAGACAAACTAAAAACAGGAGATAATGGTAACTGAGCAGTACTTAAGACGCGAACCAATAAAACAAAGTGGTATATTATATTTAGTGTTTGTAAATTACAAATGCCAGCTCATAAATTAAATTTTAAAAAAGAATTATCATTAGTTTCCAACAATGATGCTGTTAATAGGGACGAAAATTAATTTGATGATAAATCCGAGTACGCCCATGGCCAAAAATCCGATTGCAGTGGCAATAGCGTTTTTTTTAAATTCTATGAATAAAAATTCTCAAGAATTAATGCTCACCTTTACGATCTGGTTTTGTACATCGATTAATAAAATGTACAGAATCCTTAGAAAAACGAACCAGAGGCTCAGCCAGAGTGGAAACCCTATCCATTTCAAACGCGTACGTATTTAGTGGTTGAAATCGCGCTACTACAACGATTATAAATTTAAGATATATAAACACTTTACACAAAACAAATAAAGAACAGCTAATGCCTTAGCGCCTTAACTTTGATATTTAGATAAAGTATAGGAATTACACGGCAATCAATACAATATCAACGTTTTTTTGGTTGTCACAGTTAACAGTATATTGATGGCTCTTTTTCAGATAGATCGATCCGCTCTCAAGACGGAATCAGACCTATGGAGATGGAGAAGGTTGACTTTATTTCGTTTGATGTAATTTTTTTAAATTCAACTTCTTTGTGCAAACGCTATATTGACTAGGAATTTTGTTGATATATATCTGGACCTATGAATACAAACTTTCTAGCAAAAACGATTGATTAATATATGCTGAATATAGCTGTTTTAGTGTTTTGCTGACTTACTACTTTCTCATGTTTCGGAATAATAACTAAGTTGTGTGCACATTTTTTTATTCGTCTTTTCACAAGCTTCTGTTC